CCCTCTTTTTTTTTTTTTTTTTTACCCCTCAACTCTGTTTCTTAACACTTCTGTTTGTAAAACCTCTCATAAGGTACCCTTTTTTTCTTTTTTTTTCACCCCTTTTCTTATCATTCCACCAACATTCCCTTTTCCTCGTGCACCCACTCTCCTATAGCCACAAACTTCTGGTCCACATTCTAATACTGCATTTTTAAAACTATCCCAACCCTCTTCAAACCATCCCCCTCCCTCCCCACTATTCATACTTGCATTAGCCTACCTTTCTGCCAATAGTTGCTTATATTTCACCCAAACTTCCTCCTCCCTTAGTTTATACACGTTCACCTCTCTCTGACTTGCTGTTGGCATTTTTCTTTTGTCCCATTTGCCTTCTACTCTTAGATTATGTTGCACAGTTTTGGTCACTGTATTGCAGAATAGATATAAATGCACTGGAAAATGTGCAAAGGAGGATGACAAAGTTGATCCCATGTATCAGAAATCTTCTGTATGAGGATAGACTGAGGGCCCTGAATCTGCACTTTCTAGAATGGCGTAGAATTAGGGGGGATATGATTGAGGTGTATAAATGGAAAACAGGAAGTAATAAAAGGGATGTAAATAGAGTGCTAAAAATATTTAACATAGACAGGACTCTCAGCAATGGCTTTAAATTGGAAAAATTCAGATTCAGGAAGGATATAGGAAAGCACTGGTTTGGTAATAGAGTTGTGGATGAGTGGAACAAACTCCAGAATACCGTCATAGACGCTAAGACGTTGTGTAGTTTTAAAAATAGGTTGGATAAATACATGAGTGGGTGTGGGTGGGTGTGAGGTGGACCTGACTAGCTTGTGCTAATAGGTCGGATGCACTACTCCTTCCCTAAGTGATGTGTCTGACCTCACTAGGTCAAGGCATTGGCTTAAGCTGGTGGGAGAATTGGAGCTGCCTCGCATAGGCCAGTAGGCCTGTTGCAGTGTTCCTTCTTTCTTATGTTCTTTAGTTCTTAAGCCTTCCCATCAACCTATTATCCACCAGTACATAATCTAACAAACTACTTTCATTACGTGCTGTATCATACCTTGTATACTTATTTATCCTCTTTTTCATAAAAATATGTACATGTATTACGTATTACCAAACCTCTTTCTACACATAGCTCAATTAGCCCTTTCAGGGTCCGTGCCGTAGTTCTACGGCTTTGAGTTGAGGGTCCAAACCATAGATCTACGTCATGAGCTCAGCTTACTCTAATAAGCTGTGAGCGATAAAGTTGGGCCTAGATATGTGAGAATACATCTATGTGGTATGTGTGCACCACACAAAACAAATCCTGCAGCACACAGTGCATAATGAGAGAAAAAACTGAGTCCGTAATTTTTTATTAAAACAGTGACTTCACAGTGTTTTTTCGTATGATTTTTTTTAGTTGCATTTGTGATTTCTTGGTCTCATTTGATAGAATGTAAGATATATTACAGAAATAGAGATGATTTTGATTGGTTTTAGTATTGAAAATGGCATGAATCTGAGCTCAAAGTAGCGGAAATGTTAAATTTTTGCCGATATCAAGAGTAAACAAATGACCTCATACATCTAATACATGCCAGCTGGTGGGTCTTATATATGTTCACAAATGTGGTGATATTATTTATACAATTATTACAGTACTTCACAACAGTAAATCTTCTATTTTTTGGTTTGAATAAAAAACCATTATGTGAATAAAAAATCAAAATGGAATTCATTTGTAAAGCCAGAAAATATAACTAATGAACAGAGGAAATGTTAGCTTAGTGCCAGGAAGGCCTGCATTGTTTATCCTGGACCCTATTTTGAAATTGGAATATTTTGAAGTCTCCGTTAAATTGGCCAAATTACCAAATTCCAATCACTTTATTTTGTAGTTGAAAAAGTGGACTTGGCAATTTCATGTGCTCAGTCGATAGAATGGAGTATACAGTTAATAGCTAAGAATTTGGTGACGGAATAATGCATTGGCCTAAAAAGGGAAATCAAAGTTGCAAATCATGATGCGTAAAAATCGCTGACACATCAAAATTCGCAAGAGCATAATTTCATCATTTTTCCATAAAATTTTGTACTTTTTGTTTTATTGCCTTCAGAAAAAGATTCTCTACCATTTCATGAGAAAAAATAACAAAATAATTTTTTGAAAATTCTGAACCCAGTAACACTTTGAAATTTGGCTTCTGGCCTGAAAGGGTTAAAGGCTCCCCATATTCGTTTACCCCTGGCATCCCAAATTTACCTACTACTCCCTCCATAACATTTTTACCCACTTTAGCATTGAGATCCCCAACCACAAGTACTCTCTCACTTGGTTCAAAATTCCCATTTCACTACTCAACATATCCAAAATCAATCTTCTCTCTCTCTCTCTCTCTCTCTCTCTCTCTCTCCTCTTTCTCTCCTCTCTCTCTCTCTCTGCTCTCTCTCTGTCTCTTTCTCTCTCTGTTCTGTCTCTCTCTGTCTCGTCTCTCTCGTCTCTGTCTCCTCTGTCTTTTCTTTCTCCCGTCTCTGTCTCTCTTGTCTCTGTCTCTCTCTGTCTCGTCCCCTCTCTGTCTCTGTCTCTCTCTGTCTTGTCTCTCTCGTTCTGTCCTCTTGTGTACTGTCTCTCTCTGTCTACTAGTCTCTCTCTGTCCTGTCCTGCGTTCTCGTTCTCTCTGTCTCTGTCTCTCTTGTCTCTGCTCCAAAGTTCGTCGTTCTGTCTAAATCTGTCTCTCTTGTCTCTCTTGTGTCTCTCTGTCTCAACTCTGTCTCTCTCTGTGTTCGTCTCTCTGGTCTTCTCTGTTCTCTCTGTTCTCTCTCGTCTCTCTCTTCTTCTCTCTGTCTCTGTCTCTCTCTCTGCTCTCTTTCTCTCTGTCCTCTGGTGCTCATCTCTCTGTCTCTCTCTCTGGTCTCTCTCTCTGTCTCTCTCTCTGTCTCTCTCTGCTTATCTCGTCTCCTCTCTGTCTCTCTCTCTGTCTTCTCTCTGTCTCTCTCTCTGTCTGCTCTCTCTGTTCTCTCTTTCTCTCTCTCAGTCTCTCTCTAGTCTCTCTCTCTGCTCTCCTCTCTGTCTCTCTCTCTGTCTCTCTCTCTGTCTCTTCCTGTTCCTTGCTGTCTCTTCTGTGGTCTCTCTCTGTCTCTCTCTGTCTCTCATCTCTTGGTCTCTCTCTCTGTTCTCTCTGCTCTCATGTCTAGCTACTCCTTTGTCTCTCTCTCTCTGTCTCTCTCTCTCTGTCTGCTCTGCTCTGTCTCTCCTCTCTGTCTATCTCTCTCTGTCTCTCTCTTCTGTCTCTCTCTCTCTGTCTCTCTCTCTCTGTCCTTCTCGTCTCTCTCTCTCTCCTCTCTCATCTCTCTCTCCTCTCTCTCTCTCTCTCACTCTCTCCATCTCTCATCTCTCTCTCTCTTCTCTCCCTCTCCTCATCTCTCTCTCTCATTTTCCTCTTTCTCTCTCTCTCTCTCTCTCTCTCTCTCTCTCTCTCTCTCTCTCTCTCTCTCTCTCTCTCTCTACTTCGCTCACTCAACTGTCTCTCTCTCTCTCTCTCTCTCTCCTCTCTCTCTCTCTCTCTCTCTCTCTCTTTTCTCCGGGTGCATAAACACTTTAATCCACTTTTCACATCCAACCCTTATCGTACACCACATAATTCTTGAGTTTATACATTTATATTCCCTCTTTTCCTGCCATAACTTATCCTTCAACATTATTGCTACTCCTTATTTAGCTCTAACTCTATTTGAAACCCCTGACCTAATCCCATTTATTTCTCCCCACTGAAACTCTCCCACCCCCGTCAGCTTTGTTTCACTTAAAGCCAGGACATCCAGCTTCTTCTCATTTATAACATCTACAATCATCTCTTTCTTATCATTTGCACAACATCCACGCACATTCAGACATCCCACTTTGCCGATTTTCTTCATTTTGTTTTTAGTAGGCTATACGGGAAAAGGGGTTACTAGCCCATTGTTCCCGGCATTTTAGTTGACTTTTACAACACGCATTGCTTATGGAGGAAAGATTCTTGTTCCACTTCCCCATGGATATGAAATGAAAAGTACTAAGAACAAGAACTATTAAGATAAAATCAAAGAAAACTCAGGTGAGTGTGTTTTTATGTACATGTATGTGTAGTATGACGTAAGTGTAAGTAGGTCACACTACACATACGTGTTTATGAGACAGAAAAAAGACACCAGCAATCCTATCATCATGTAAATCAAATACAGGCTTCCTTTTACACTCACTTGGTAGGACTGTAGTACCTCCCCGAATCTTTGCTGTCTACCAACCTACTACCTTTTAAAAACTGCAAGATATATGTATATGTTTAACATAATATAGTATATGCATGAAATTGACTCATGAACCATTAAAATGCAGTGCTTATATCAACATAAAAGCTTTGATTTTAAAGATGCATAAAACCCAGGGGCACTCAACACTGTATGTGTTGAGTGCCCCTGTGCACTCAACACATACAGTTAACAGCTATAAATTACGTGAAGCACATACTGTAATGTGGAAATTGTTTTAATTTGACACCCCACAAAAATTTTGTCTGAGGTTTTACTGTATTTTAGTTTTAGCTGACATAACATGTTTTCATATGCTGGTAAATTGTTTAGCTAATGTAATTTTATAAGCTTACATACAATTGGCTTGTAAAGTATAATTTTAATCATTGCAGTTTTTTATTGTTGCTGGAAATTATTTAAATGTGATTTTGCTTACTATAGTGCAATATTTGATTCATTCATTTATATTAATTACTGTATTTTGCGGCTTATGAGATGCGGCATATATGACTTGTTTTAGTTTCAATGGCTCGGCATAGGATGTAACTGAGAGAGCTACAGCCCACCCCACACCCCAAACCCTACGTCCTATAAAATGACCTTCAGTTTATAGGACGTAGGGTGGTTTTGGAGACATTTTATGGAAAAAAAGTCTGTCTAATAAGCCGTGAAATATGGTATAAGTAGTTTTAAAGCAAAATGTATGTCAACAGACAATAATAAGTTGGATGCAGATTACATCAAGAGATGTCTGGGAGACTTGACTCCTCTACAAGAATCACGATTGATACAGCTCAAGAAGTGGGTTGCTGAACTACAGAAAGGAAAGGTAAGTTGGATACCAGGAAAAGCACCTAATGAGAGTAACTATGATTTATTGATTATATACTTGTAGATGCACTTTTTCATTGCATTGACACAAAATTCAACTATATAGTGTCTCCTTATAAGAGGGTTTACTGTATACAAGATGTGATTCTACAGTAAGGGGAAAAAAGTGTGGGTGGTGTGTTGAGGCATCTGTGGAAAGAATGACATATCTCCAGAGGCAAAAATAGGAATGTAGCAGAATTTAGTAGTACCAGCATCTTTATATGGTTGTGATGCATGGGTTATGAATGCGGCAGTGAAAAGTAGTCTACAGGCAGTGGAGCTGTCATGTATGGTTTGAATATCATGCAGAAAATTTGGAGCATAGAAATTAAAAGGTGACGTGGAGGGAGGAGGGTTGGACATGCAAAGAGGATGGTGAGGGGTATGATGACAAAGTGGGTCTGTAAATCTGGAGTGGAAGGTAGGATGGGTAGGAGGCATCCCAGGAATGGTTGGAGGGAGGGGAGAATAAAAGAGGCTTTGAGTTTTAGAGGCTTGAGCATCCAGCAGACTTATGTGAGCATGTTATGTAGAGTGAATGGAGACAAGTGGTTTTACATGGATGTGCTGTTGAAGGGTGAGCAAGGTAACTTTTATGAAGGGACTCAGGGAAACCATTAACCAGACTAGAATTGTGTAGGTGGAAAGGGCAGTGGCTGCACTTTGAAGAAGGGGGAGGATGTTACATTTGAAGAGTAATGTAAATTAAGATATCTACACACTTCTGGAAAGATAGTGATTGAGTGAATGTTGGCAAGTATGTTTTCTTCTTTGACTTGAGAAACTTGTCCAGTTCCTTCTTGAAGACAGGCAGGGTATGTTGGTAATCCCCTTTATATAAGAAGGGAGGTAACTGAAAAGGTTTGGTCCCTTCACACTTACTGAGTTTATCCTTAGTGTATTCAGTGCACCCTTGCTTTAATTGGGAGTATTTTTCACCATCTGCTAAGGGTCATACTGTCATGGGGTATGATTTATGCATGGAAATTTGTGACCAGTCCTAGAATTTTCTAAGTGTAGATTATAATATACCTTTCTCAAATGTTTCCAGTAATTTAGGTGCTTAACTGATTCTAAAGAGTTAGTGGTGGGTCGTCATATGAATAACACTCCTGTTGTGTAATTCTTCTGTGATGAATATGTAATAATAGTGGTTTGTCTTCATTCCATCCTGCTTGTACATGACTTGTTTCTGAAAATATCATAAAATTTTTTTTATAATTTTCAAGTTTTCATCCCAGGCACATATTTTCTTGGGATGACCATTATAAAAGCTTTGGCGATTAATTCACAATTTGGAGAGAAAGCTTTTAATGATGTTTTGGTTCTTCTTGGACTATTATCAAGTTCTGACATGATGTTGGTCCTAGGCATACTGAAAGTCATCTAAAACTTCTGTTTCTGTATCAAACTGAACACATATTACTGTTTAATATTTTTCCAGTAGTCCTTTTCGTGAGCTAGTCCAAAATCACCCAGTGATCCACTAATCCGGATTCGCCTTGATTCGTCCAATGACCAGATTCAAACAGATTCGTTGATAACAAGGTATCCTCTGACTGGTTTCATTGACTGATGGAGCTTTACGTGCCCTTATCAAACACCCAAACAGTAACTACAACAAATAGATACAATACAGATAGACAGATCTACTGTTAAGGTGATTATTAGCAAAAATCTACAGTGATCCACAAACTGGACTCGTCCGGATTTGCCAGATTCGGGCGGATTCAAACGGTTCCGTTGGAAATAAAGCCAAACCGGAAGATCTGTTACAAAAAATTAAATACTTCGAGGAATTATAGACTAGTTAGCTGGGAGAGTTGTCAAGTATTGTAAGATGACTACCACCATGAAGATCTGTGTAGTCTGCAGAAAGGGTAAGGGACGAAAACATGCCTGGATTGCTTGCAATCTCTGTGGTCAATGGTCTCATGGTATATGCAGGGATTTGAAACCAGTGACCACACTTTACATAAACTCGGAGAGATGTTTTTGGGTCTGCCCAAATGAGATACAGCTGTATGAGAAAATTACATCTATATTAAAAGACAAGAACACCAATAAAAGTTCCTTCTTGAAAGACATGTCAGCATGGTATTACAGCTGGGAAAATATGATGGGTGGTAGGGACAGGGCTGTCTTGGACAGTGCTCCTCAGGGTGCTAGTGCTGTCCTGGAGGAAATTGCTCCAGAGGGTTCTAGTGATGTCCTGGAAGACAGTGTTTGTGAGGTTATTAGTGTTGTTCTGGAGGACAGTGTAGACAATGTTATTCAGTCCACAGAGGTTCAAAATAGAGATACTACTGGAGATGGATCAAAAGGGAATGATGCCTCAGGGAATATTGTAGACACACTACCAGCAAAACCAGGTGGAAGCACTGATGCCCATACAGTGGTGAAAGATACGGAGGAAACAAGAAAAATAAATGCACCAGCAACGAACACAGCTACAATAAATCCTAGGAAATGAATTACAATGTAAATACTATGCCTTGGGTATCTGCAGGCATGGTATATCTGGTAAAACAGGTGGGATGTGCACCTTTTACCATCCCAAAAAATGCCGCACCCACATGACAGCAGGAGAGTGCAACTTCCCCTTCTATAACTTATTTCACGCAGAAATGTGTCACTCATCAATCCATGAAAGAAAATAGTACAACGCATACTGCCAGGCACATCATCTAAAGGGGAATAGAAGACAGACCAGCCAGACTATGGGAAACAAAAGAGGGGAGCCACAACCTCTCTAGGAACAGAGGTTTTTTAGGGCCAGGAGGGAAAAAAGACTGGCAAGAAATGACAATAATCCTACAACTGAAAATACTTTTGGAGCAGAGACACGGACATTGGCCTATACTCCAGAACAACAGATATTAGAGCCAGCAAGTAAAACCCCCTAAATTCCACCAATATAATGACATTTGTCTTTGCAAATATACAGGGTCTAAAGCCGTCAAAAAACAATAAAATTCCGTACATCAAGGGATGGCTCACAGAGTCAAATGCAATGTTTGCAGCATTCACAGAGGCCCACATAAAGGATCATTATGACAACGAAATATGGATCCCAGGTTATAACCTATTTCGATGCGATAGACTAAACAGGCAACTAGGGGGGGTTGGCCTGTATGTCACAGAGTCGCTCATTTGCACAGAGCTACTAAACATCTCAAATGATGTAGTTGAAGTTTTGGCGGTAAAGTTTGAAAACCAAAACCTTTTCATTTTGGTGGTATGCAAGCCTCCAGATGCAACTTCCCAGCAATTCCAGCAGCAGCTTGTGAAAATTGACCACTGTCTAGAAAATCTCCCAACTCCTGCCCCAAACATCTTACTAATAGGAGAATTCAACTTGAGACACCTAAAAACAGTGTTTTAGCAGAGATCACCCTAGGAGGCAGCTCAGATGAAAATTCACACACACATGAACTATTAAATCTCTGCACCAAATTCACCTTAAACCAGCAAATAGTAGAGCCTACAAGACTAGAAAATATGCTGGACCTCGTCTTCACTAACAACGACAATCTGATACATAATATAACTGTATCAAAGACCATACACTCAGATCACAACATAATAGAGGTACAGACATGTATGCACAGGGCTCCTGACCAGCAAAATGTGAGCAGTCATGAAGGTCTCTTCACTATATTCAATTTCAATAAAAAAAACATACAGTGGGATCAAGTAAACCATGTCCTAAATGAAACAAGCTGGGAAGATATCCTAAACAACACGGATCCAAACATTTGCCTTGAAAAAATGAATTCTGTGGTTCTTGAGATCTGCTCAAGACACATCCCATTAAGAAAAAGAAAGATAAGATGCAAACTAGAAAGAGAGAGACTCTCCCTATACAGACAAAGGCAAAGAGTCACAGAGCTGCTGAGTGGGACCAATATATCTGAAATACGAAGGGAGGCACTAGTCAAGGAAATTGTAAATATCGAACTTAAGCTGAAGGAATCTTACAGGAGACAAGAATCACAGGAAAAACCAAGCCATAAAGGAAATTGAAAAAAACCCAAAATACTTCTTCTCTTATGCCAAATCTAAGGAAAAAAACAACATCCAGTATTGGGCCCCTGCTTAGGCAGGATGGGACATACACAGATGACAGCCAAGAAATGAATGAGATATTAAAGTCCAAATATGACTCATTGTTCAGCGAGCCACTGCCCAGACAAAGGGTCGACAACCCAAATGAATTCTTTATGAATGAAACCCAAAATTTGGTCATCTCATAAATCTCGGATGTTATCCTAACTCGACAAGACTTTGAAGAGGCAATAAATGACATGCCCGTGCACTCTGCCCCAGGCCCAGACTCATGGAACTCTGTGTTCATCAAGAATTGCAAGAAGCCCTTATTGTGTGCCTTCAGCATTTTGTGGAGAGGGAGCATGGACACGGGTCATCCCACACACACTAAAAACAACAGACATAGCCCCACTTCACAAAGGTGGCAGTAAAGCAATTGCAAAGAACTACAGACCGATAGCACTAACATCCCATATCATAAAAATCTTTGAGAGGATTCTAAGAAGCAAGATCACCAACCACCTAGATACCCATCAGTTACACAACCCAGGGCAACACAGGTTTAGAGCAGGTCACTCCTGCCTGTCCCAGCTCCTGGACCACTATGACAAGGTTCTGGATGCTGTAGAGGATAAACAAAATACAGATGTATACACAAACTTTGCAAAAGCTTTCGATAAGTGTGACCATGGTGTAATAGCACACAAAATGCATGTTAAAGGAATAACAAGAAAAGTTGGTAGATGGATCTATAACTTCCTGACAAATAGAACACAAGGAGTAATAGTAAATGGAGTAAAGTCCCAGGCAGCCATGGTAAAAAGCTCTGTTCCGCAAGGCACAGTACTCGCTCCCATTCTATTCCTCATCCTCATTACTGACAGACAGAGATGTACGCCATAGCTCCGTGTCTTCCTTTGCATATAACACCCGGAGTACCGTGGCAGTGACCTCCATCGAAGACACCAAAAGACTCCAAATGGACATCAACCAAATCTTCGAATGGGCCACTCAAAACAATATGAAGTTCAATGAGGAGAAATCTCAACTATACTGAGATATAGGAAACTTGAGGAAATTAAAAATGTACCAAGGTATATGACAAATTCTAACCATACAATAGAATGGAAAAGTAATGTGAAGGACCTGGCAGTGATAATGTTAGAGGACCTCGCCTTCAAAGACCACAACAATGTATCTACCTTATCTGCTAGGAAAATGATAGGATGGATAATGAGAACCTTGAACACTAGGGATGCCAAGTCCATGATGTTCTCTTCAAATCACTTATGTTCTCTCTAGGCTGGAATACTGCTGTACACTAACAGCCCCCTTCAAGGCTGGCGACATTGCTGACCTGGAGAGTATACAGAGAACTTTCACGGCACACATAAGTACCATAAGGCACCTAAATTACTGGGAACGGTTGAAGGTCCTTGATCTGTTTTCCCTGGAATGCAGGCAAGAGAGATACATGATAATATACACTTGGAAGGTCCTGGATGGATTGGTACCAAACCTGCATACGAAAATCACTCCCTATGAAAGCAAAAGACTAGGCAGGAGATGCAACAATCCCTCGATAAAAAACAGGGGCGCCATGAGTACATTGAGAGACAACACAATAAGTGTCTGAGGCCCAAGACTGTTCAACTGCCTTCCAGCATACATAAGGGGGATTACCAATAGACCCCTGGCTGTCTTTAAGAAGGCACTGGACAGGCACCTAAAGTCAGTACCTGGCCAACCGGGTTGTCGTTTGTACGTTGGCTTGCATGTGCCAACAGTAACAGCCTGGTTGACCAGACCCTGATCCACCATGAGGCCTGGTCTCAGACTGAGCCATGGGGGCATTGACCCTTGAGACCCTCTCCAGGTAAACTCCAGATATAAGAACCAAAATTGAGCTCTGCTGTTATCCTCCCCATCTCAGGTTATGTTGTACTGCAGCCACCAGATCCTTTTCCCTATATGACATTTAATGAGTGCACTTCTTGTTCATGCTGGTATACCACATTCTCAGATCTTTGTAGGTTAGATATGAATTATTGTGACTTACATTCTTTGTGAAGGCATTGTTTCTTTGCCTTAGCTTTAAAGTCGTCAAACCTTTAAGCCTCTTGCTTTCTATTAAGGGAGATATTCTGCCCTTAATAGAATTGCTTCATCACTAGTTTTGGAACCTCATTATTGCCAGATATAATGTCTAGTCAGGACATTACTGAATTGGGAGAATTTACTCCTATACAAACCTCGTTAAACACAGTAAGTTTTTCTGTTATGTTTCGTCTGAATGAGTCAGTTACATCATTTGATAAGTTTAGCAATCTACTCAGGGGTATTGAGGTCCTCCCTAATTTTACTTCTTGTTTTTTTTATTTTTACAGATTTAATTAAGTGCATCTGATACAGTATTATTTAAAATGAAATCTAAGGCACAATTTTATGTTCTTTAAAGATAAAATATATATTTGCAGGTTCCAAGTGATAGTTGCTTGTTGAGATTTTTGAGGGCTCGAGACTTTAACATTGAGAAAGCCCGTGAGATGTTAAGTCATTCACTCATTTGGAGGAAAAAGAACCAGGTTGATAAGATGATTAATGAGTATCAAGTGCCTCAAGTAGTGAAAGACTACTTTCCTGGAGGGTGGCACTATCAAGACAAGGGTAAGCATTTTCTTCATGTGCTCTTTTTTTGCACAGTACAGTGGACCCCCGCATAACGATTACCTCCGAATGCGACCAATTATGTAAGTGTATTTATGTAAGTGTGTTTGTACATGTATGTTTGGGGGTCTGAAATGGACTAATCTACTTCACAATATTCCTTATGGGAATAAATTCGATCAGTACTGGCACCTGAACATACTTATGGAGTGAAAAAATATCGTTAACCGGGGGTCCACTGTATTGCATTGATTACCTTGTTGGACTGTACTTCATTTATTAAAATGCTCCTACATATAGCTACTTATTGTTATTTAGCATGGTTGTTATTCATAAGAGATAAATGGTTTAGTGTTTAGCTGATGGAGGCTTGATATTTGTGCTGATAGATCCACATGGATTTAGCACTTAAGACCAATACTGTAGTATAAGAATTCTCACATTTTTACATAAACTAATTTCTGTATATACCCTACTCTGGTACTATATATGCACGTGTTCCATAGCAGTGTTCATGTGGTTCACAGTAGTTCTCATATGTTCCAAAACAACATTCATACATTCTGCAGCAGTACACAAATGTTTCACAGCAGTGTTCATGTTTCTCACAGCAGTGCTATAAGCAGAGTTTTCTTTGTGTACAAACAAACTGGATAGATGTGAAACATTCATATAATATGGAAGACTTGATTTCTTTTACTCTGTATAAGTTGAAAATGAGAGAAACATAATGAGATCTTCATATTTGTCTTGAACTAAACATTTACCTTTAATAATAACTCACTATAAACTTTGGACATTATCAAACCGATAATGCCCTGACAGACCATAAGGTTGTTTAACCCTTAAACTGTCCAAACGTAGATCTACGTTTGCACGAGTAGCGCTCCGAACATAGATCTACGTTTTTTTACATTGTTTCTTATGGGGAAAATTAAGGTCGGAGCGCTACGCGCACAAACTTAGATCTACGTTTGGACAGTTTAAGGGTTAAAATTTCTTGGGTTGCTTGTGATTTGTTCTGGCTATGTTAAAATTATATTTTCCTTGTTAATAGTCCTTAGCAGATTAGTTCTTTCTTCATTCATTTTAGTTCTTATTTTAATAAGTATTATTTAATATGTAGTAATAGTTTTACACTGTTGAAGCATTTTTTTTTCAGAGGGTCGACCCCTGTATCTCCTTCGTTTAGGGCAAATGGATGTTAAAGGTCTTGTGAAATCTGTTGGTGAAGAAGGACTTTTAAAACATGTGAGTAAATATGTTTTATTGTTTTGTTTTAATAATTATTCAGTTCTTGATGTTCAATGTGTACCAGAATGAAATGAAAGTGCACTAATTGCATCACTTCTTGTTTAACCCTTAAACTGTCCAAACGTAGATCTATGTTTTTTCAACATTTGAAAGTATGTAAAAAAAACATAGATTTTTTTTTTCATTTGAAAAAATGTAAAAAAAACTTACATCTACTTTCTTTTTTGTTATATTTGAAAATATGTAAAAAAACGTAGATCTACTTTTGGAGCACTACACATGTGAACATAAATTTGTTTGGACAGTTTAAAGGTTAAAATGATGGCTATGTCATTTAAATGTTGTAACATTAAATTTAGAAGATAAGGAAAAGTTGAAGTGTATATGAGAGAAGCAATGGTTCCTGAGACCATCTCTCTCAAAGAAATGGAGCTCACAAAGGAGCAAAAATATTGTCCTCTGGACCCTGAAAGGGTCCAGAGGACAAATTTCAAAGTGTGCACCAGTGTCCAAGAATTTTCAGAAAATAATTTTGTTATTTTTTTCTTATGAAATGGTAGAGAATCTTTTTCTGAAGGTGATAAAACAAAAAGTATGAAATTTGGTAGAAAACTGATGAAATTATGCTCACGTGAATTTTGACGTGTCAGTGATATTTACGCATCGGCGATTTTGCCGACTTTGACTCCCATTTTAGGCCAATTACATTATTCCAGTCGACCAAATTCTTAACTATTTCATTAGTATTACTTCTATTCTATCGATTGAGCACAAGAAATCGCCACGTCAACTGTTTCAACTACAAAATAAAGTGATTGGAAGTTGGTAATTTGGCCAATTTAATGCAAAGTGGCCCGGTGGCCTGGTGGCTAAAGCTCCCGCTTCACACACGGAGGGCCCGGGTTCAATTCCCGGCGGGTGGAAACATTTCAACACTTTTCCTTACACCTGTTGTCCTGTTCACCTAGCAGCAAATAGGTACCTGGGTGTTAGTCGACTGGTGTGGGTCGCATCCTGGGGGACAAGATTGAGGACCCCAATGGAAATAAGTTAGACAGTCCTCAATGACGCACTGACTTTCTTGGGTTATCCTGGGTGGCTAACCCTCCGGGGTTAAAAATCCGAACGAAATCTTATCTTATCTTATCTTAAAGTTCAAAATATTCAAATTTCAAAATAGGGTCCAGAATAAACAACGCAGGCATTCCTGGTACTAAACTAATATTTCCTCTATTCATTAGTTACGTTTTCAGGCTTTACAAATGAATTCCATTTTGATTTTTTATTCATAATGAATTTTTATTCAAACCAAAAAAATAGAAGATTTACTGTTATGTAATATTGTAATAATTGTATAAATAATATCACCATATTTGTGAATGTATATTAGACCCACCAGCTGGCATGTATTAGACGTGTGAGGTCATTTGTTTACTCTTGAACATCGGCAAAAATGTAACATTTCCGCCACATTGAGCTCAATTTCAAGCCATTTTCAATACTAAAACCAATCAGAATCATCTCTATTTCTGTAATATATCTTCCATTCTATCAAATGAGATCAAGAAATCGCAAATACAACCATAAAAAACAAACGAAAAAACACTGCAAAGTCGCTGTTTTAATCGAAAATTACAGTCTAAGTTTTTTTTCTCTCATTTTGCTCTGTGTGCTGCAGGATTTGTTTTATGTGGTGCACACATACCACATGTATTCTCTCATATCTAGGCCCAAATTTAATTCTCACAGCTTATCAGAGTGAGCTGAGCTCATGGCATAGATCTACGGTGTGGACCCTCAACGTAAAGCCGTAGATCTACGGCACGGACCCTGAAAGGGTTAATACAGTCTTCACTGATACCATTTATAACATATCGACTAAAAAATACCAAAGTATCACATTGTTGTATTTGTTTGTACTTCTCCAGTTATCAGATCTTGCATACTTCTACTTACTCATCCATTGTCATAAAACTTTTTCTCTCTGCTAGTCCATCTCAGTCTTGCTTTTTGTTAGATTTAACAAATCTGTGAAGTTGACATCTATGACTGTTGTACATCCCCTCAACTGCCACTGAGCACTATTCCTATGAAAGAGTGACTTTTCCTTGAAAAACTCCACTAGTAACAGGCCAATTTATTTATTTATTTATTTATTTATTTATTTAATGTCTTTGCACAGTACATTGAGATTGTGTATATACAATAGTGGGATGCAATGCAAAGAGAGCCTCTATTATGCCTTGGCATTATGGGCCAACTTAACATTATTGGCTTACATTCCACTTAATACTAAGAAGTAGTATATCATAGTTGTACAGTAGGAAAGTAATTATTTCATAGTTGTACAGTAGAATATTAATTATAAATGAATCAAAATTTGTATAATACAAAGATATACGTATTTATATTCTAAAATGCTTTTGTTAAAAACAATGATTCAATTATATTCCTGTCAACATTGGATAAAAGGTTCAATGTGATTGTTTCAATTATGATGTGGGAGTACATAGATGAGTAAATGTATACTGAGTATTTAGCATTTAGTCTAGGGTGATTAAGTGGCTTTTGAGAAGAGTCTTAAATTGATTTTCAGACTGGGTTACTTTAATATCTTCTGGTAATGAATTCCATATTTTGGGGCCCTTCATGTGCATAGAGTTTTTACAGAGTGCGATATGGACACGAGGTATATCAAAGAGATCTGTGTCTTGTGTTGTGGTCATGTGTCCTGTTTAGGTTGGTGAGGAAAAGTTTGAGTGGGGGTTTATATTTGCGTGTATTGTTCTGTGTATGTAGTAGGCACATGAATAAGTATGGATGTTCTTAATGGTAAGCAGATTCAGACTTTTGAAAATTGGTGGAGTATGCTGGCGGGAGTGGAAATTTGTTATTCTTACTGCAATGATATAAAGTTGTGAAAATTTTCTCTATATCATACTAGCACTACCTTGTAACTTAATAATAAAGGCCCACTTGACAAATTCATAGTCATTGAAATCAGTCAATCCTGGCATGCAAATGCATTCTGAAAATTTTCCTGCTAACTGATGTTGCCTTATTGACATTAAACTGTGCCTGATTCTTCCTTAGTAATGCCATTGTCAAGGTGAATGTTGATCATTCCTTGTTGTTGCTTCTGTAACCTCTACTAATTTTCTCTATCTAGCTTAGCTACTTTTCTTTCTTGCTTAAATACTTGCACTTGAGGGAGGTGAAAGTGTATAAACTAAGGGAGGAGGAAGTTCGGGTGAGATATAAGCGACTATTGGCAGAAAGGTGGGCTAGTGCAAAGATGAGTAGTGGGGGGGTTGAAGAGGGTTGGAATAGTTTTAAAAATGCAGTATTGGAATGTGGGGCAGAAGTTTGTGGTTATAGGAGGGTGGGGGCAGGAGGAAAGAGGAGTGATTGGTGGAATGATGAAGTAAAGGGTGTGATGAAAGAGAAAAAGGTAGCTTATGAGAGGTTTTTACAAAGCAGAACTGTTATAAGAAGAGCAGAGTATATGGAGAGTAAAAGAAAGGTGAAGAGAGTGGTGAGAGAGTGCAAAAGGAGAGCAGATGATAGAGTGGGAGAGGCACTGTCAAGAAATTTTAATGAAAATAAGAAAAAATTTTGGAGTGAGTTAAACAAGTTAAGAAAGCCTAGGGAAAGTATGGATTTGTCAGTTAAAAACAGAGTAGGGGAGTTAGTAGATGGGGAGAGGGAGGTATTAGGTAGATGGCGAGAATATTTTGAGGAACTTTTAAATGTTAAGGAAGAAAGGGAGGCGATAATTTCATGCACTGGTCAGGGAGGTATACCATCTTTTAGGAGTGAAGAAGAGCAGAATATAAGTGTGGGGGAGGTACGTGAGGCATTACGTAGAATGAAAGGGGGTAAAGCAGCTGGAACTGATGGGATCATGACAGAAATGTTAAAGCAGGGGGGGATATAGTGTTAGAGTGGTTGGTACTTTTGTTTAATAAATGTATGAAAGAGGGGAAGGTACCTAGGGATTGGCGAAGAGCATGTATAGTCCCTTTATATAAAGGGAAAGGGGACAAAAGAGATTGTAAAAATTATAGAGGAATAAGTTTACTGAGTATACCAGAAAAGTGTATGGTAGGGTTATTATTGAAAGAATTAGAGGTAAGACAGAATGTAGGATTGCGGATGAGCAAGGAGGTTTCAGAGTGGGTAGGGGATGTGTAGATCAAGTGTTTACATTGAAGCATATATGTGAACAGTATTTAGATAAAGGTAGGGAAGTTTTTATTGCTTTTAGGGATTTAGAAAGGCATATGAAGAGTGGATAAGGACAATGGGGCAGAGTTGCAAGTAATGGAATAGGTGGTAAGTTACAAATGCTGTAAAGGTTTTTATGAGGATATGACTCAGGTTAGGTGTTAGAAGATAGGGAGACACTTCCCGGTAAAGTAGGTCTTAGACGGGGATGGTAATGTCACCAGGGTTTTTTTAAATATATTTATAGTGGGGTTGTAAAAAAATAAATGCTAGGGGGTTTGGGGGAGGGGTGGATTAAATTTTGGGGAAACAAATTTAAAATGGGGAAATTTCACAGTTTCTTTTTTTGTTATACGGCTTTTGGAATTCTAAAGAAAAATTTCAAAGGAGTGGAAAGTTTGGGGAATGGTTTGTAAAGTAGAAAGTTGAAAAATGAACATAAAAAGAGTAAGGGGATGGGGGGTCAAATATTTAGATAAAGAAAAAATTGGATATCAAATTGGGGGGAGGGTATGGAAAAAGCAAATGTTTTTAATTTTGGGGGTGACTGTCAGCGGGTGGATTTAGAAAGAGAGGGTTTAACTAAATTGATGAAGGAAAAAAGGGGAGTGGGCGTTGAGGTAATTTGGGGGGGTCAAAAAAACGTTATCTAGGAGGCAAAGAAGGGAATGTATAAAGTATAGATACCAACACCTAAAAGGGTGTGAAATGAGGGTAAAACAGCAGCAAAGAAAGGTTTGGAGGCAGTGGAATTCCTGTCTAAGGGCAATGTGTGGTGTAAATATTATGCAGAAAATTCGGAGTGTGGAAATTAGGAAAAGGTGTGGGAGTTAATAAAAGTATAGTCAGAGGCAAAGAGGAGTTGTTGAGGGGTTTTGGTCATTTAGAGAGATTGATCAAAGTAAATGACATGGTAAAGCATATAAATCTATAGGGAAGAAGGCGGGGTAGGGTCGCCCTCGAAAGGTTGGAGAGAGGGGTAAAGGAGGTTTTGTGCGAGGGCTTGGACTTTTCAGCAAGCGTGCGTGAGCGTGTTAGATAGGAGTGAATGGAGACGAATGGTACTTGGGACCTGACGATCTTTTGGAGTGTGAGCAGGTAAATATTTAGTGAAGGATTCAGGGAAACCGTTATTTTCATATAGTCAGACTTGAGTCCTGGAAATGGGAAGTACAATGCCTCCACTTTAAAGGAATGGGTTGGGATATTGGCAGTTTGGAGGGATATGTTGTGTATCTTTATACGTATATGCGTCTAAACTGTTGTATTCTGAGCACCTCTGCAAAAACAGTGATAATGTGTGAGTGTGGTGAAAGTGTTGAATGATGATGAAAGTATTTTCTTTTGGGGATTTTCTTTCTTTTTTGGGTCACCCTGCCTCGGTGGGAGACGGCCGACTTGTTAAAAAAAAAAAAAAAGAGTTAATGCTAGCTGAAGTTTCAATTATCTGTAGACTGTTACCGCCTGCCTTGTTAACCCTGGGCAACAATTGTGGTGTCTCAGGAGTAGTTGTATTTATGTATTCATTGGGTCAGGAAGGCTTCAACCTCAACCAGTTCTAATTTGTGGTGACCTATTGTATTATATATGCCATTTTAATCTGTCAAAGGAGGTGTTGCCTTGATGCTGGTGAAGGGCTCTTGATTCAAGGAATTAGAGCTACCCTGCTCATCCATGGATCAAGATGGATTAATTCTCACTTTCCATGTGCTCTATATCTACTACAGATTTAGTAATTTCATGTGAAGTATTCGGATATTTAATAGTGAACATGTCAGCAGATGGGTCTATGAAAGATGAGGTGAATCATAGAATTGATGAGGGGAAAAAGGTGAGTGGTGCACTGAGGAGTCTGTGGAGACAAAGAATTTTGTCCATGGAAGCAAAGAGATGAATATATGAGAGTATAGTTATACCAACGCTCTTATGTGGATGTGAAGTATGGGTTGTAAATGTTGCAACAAGGAGAAGGCTGGAGGCAGTGGAGGTGTTATGTCCGAGGGCAATGTGTGGTATGAATATAATGTAGAGAATTCGTAGTTTGGAAATTAGGAGGAGGAGCGGGATTACCAAACTATTATTCAGAGGGCTGAGGAGGGGTTGTTGAGGTGGTTTGGACATGTAGAGAGGTTGGAACAAATTAGAATGACTTAAAGAATGTATAAATCTGTAGTGGAGGGAAGGCGGGGTAGGGGTCGGCCTAGGAAAGGTTGGAGGGAGGGGGTAAAGGAGGTTTTGTGTGCAAGGGGCTTGGACTTTCAGCAAGCATGCGTGAGTGTGTTAGATAGGAGCAAATGGGGAAAAATAGTTTTTAGGACTTAATGTGCTTTTGGAGTGTGAGCAGGGTAATATTTATGAAGGGATTCAGGGAAACCAGCAGGCCAGATTTGAGTCCTGGAAATGGGAAGTACAGTGCCTGCACTGCTCTCTGAAGGAGGGGTGTTAAAGTTGCAATTTTATAACTGTAGTGTAAGAGAGAGCGCCTCTGGCAAGACATATCGGCCATTTTCCACCCTACCTTGGTGGGAAATGGCCGATATGTTAAAACAAAAAAATTATTATAATGATTAAGTATGCCACTTTAGAGATAAAATAGTAATAATATATGTACATTATCGTAGGGGTCATCCTTGAAAAGATTGGAGGGGGAGTGAATGGAGACGAATGGTTTTAGGGACCTGACGAGCTGTTGGAGTGTGAGCAGGGTAATATTTTGTGAAGGGATTTCAGGGAAACCAGTTAGCTAGGCTTGAGTCCTGGAAATGGGAAGTACAGTGCCTGCACTTTAAAGGAGGAGTTTGGGATGTTGGCAGTTTGGAGTGACTAAACTGGCATATCTGGGTTCCTCTGCAAAGACAGTGATATTATTATTATTGCATGAGTGATGGTGAAAGTGTTGACTGATAATGAAAGTTTTTTCTTTCTTTTTGGGTTTTTCTTTCTTCTGGGTCACCCTGCCTTGGTGGGAGACCACCAACGTGTTAAAAAAAAAATGATCTTAGACATTCTGTAAGAGTATATCTTATTCCAGACACTTCATATCTGTGAAGAGGGTCTTCGCCTGACAGAGGAAGCAACAGTCAACCATGGATGCCCAGTAACAACTTGGACACTTCTGGTAGATTTAGAAGGCCTCAATATGCGCCACCTTTGGAGACCTGGCATCAGAACTCTTCTTAAAATTATTGAGGTAAAACAGAGAATGAGTAAAGGTGAATGTGTTTACTTCTTTGGGCCATACTTTCTTGGTGGAAAATGACCAGTGTGTGAAAATAAAAATTATTCATTTTTATAATTTATCAGGTCATAGTGTTGTCAGTAACTCTTTGGTAGGTATCATAGAAACACTTGTGATGATAATCTGAATTTTTATTTAAAAAGAATTAAATTAGTGTATCAGGTATTGTATATACTTTTGCCGTGAGTTGTACTAAATGAAAGGTCAATAGCTCTATTTATAGATAAGTTGTAATTCTTTGCAATTTGTTAATGATTTATTTTTCTTGTGAAACAGATTGTGGAAGCAAACTACCCTGAGACAATGAGTTGTGTTCTCATTATTCGTGCACCACGTGTGTTTCCCATCCTCTGGACGCTTGTGTCCACCTTTATTGATGACAATACCAGGTACACTTTACACATTTGTTTTATATAATTGTGTACAGTATACACCTATTATATACTGTATATAAGAATAACCTACTTTCAACACATGTACTAGCTAGACCAAAAATATTTGTATTATTCTTGTACTGTTGAATTTGGGTTATTCATATAGATTACCCATTTGGGTAATCTATACTGTAATTAGCTGTATTGGTTCAAACCCAAAAAACAGCAGCAGTGTAAATAATATTTGTGTGTGATTTTTATGCAGACTCAAATTGGCTATTGAAGTTGGTGTGTCATTCCTGTTTTTTCAGGTCCAAGTTTCTGTTTTATGGAGGAAATGATTACCAAGGTCCTGGTGGCTTAGTTGACTACATGCCTAAGGAAAATATCCCTGACTTCTTAGGGGGAGATTGTAAGGTAAGATACTCAGCTTTCATTTGATTTTGATTCTGTAATTGTTTTCCCAATTTGCATTTTTCATTGTCCCTTTGTGATATTTAATACACACACCTGATTATCCGAAGCTCAGTTATTGTGATGTTCAACATACATTAATGTGTATATTACCAGAACTGTTATGGAAATGCATTGTGGTTGACAAAGGAGGTTTAAAAATTGCAGTCAAAAAAGTGAGCATCAGTGAGTGAAAGTGGCACACTTTAAATTGCCATTAGTAATGTTTTCATAGTAATGGAAGCTAATGAGTTAGCATAGTGCATACAGCTCATGATTCTTACTGCTATTTTGTTTTTGAAGTCACTGCTAATATGTGGTTGAGTAGAATAAAATAAAAAATACATTGCCATTTTCTAAGAGTAGTTTTGTGATAATGCTTAAAATGACAGTCATTGTATCCATAAACCCAAGTCATCATCATAATTAATTTGTAATTTATCATTTTTCTGACAAGAAAACAATTATTTAGTTATGTAAGGTTTCCCTAATTTGTAATGTTAAAAAGCATGAATTTGCTTTTGTTTTTTGCAAACTCCCATTTAAACTCATAGTATTTTACAGTAAACAAATTCTAGAATGTTTTTCTGGCCCATTTCTAATCTAAGCAGCTAAATGTGTGAAAATATTTCTGCATGGGTCATTGTAGTTATTTGTGTTTGTGAAAACGTTTAATTCTCATTCAATGCTAATTTATGATTTATTAAAAAATTAGTTGCTGTTGTATGAGTTTATAATGTACAGTACTAGCCAGACACTGGTGTTGCTCTTTTATCAACTTTATCTGCCTGTCTCTCTTCTTGTTGTGGTGGGCGTTTTGACATCAGCAAGGCTCTCTTTCTCACTGTGGCCCCGTACCTGAGTCCTTGTACACTGTCATGTACCCAGACCAGCTGGAGCTTAGCGTAAGAAATTAGTCCAAAATCTTAGGCAGTCTTTAAAATGGTGAATACTAGATTTATCTTGAACACCCTTATATTATAGACATAACATATCGTGAATATTTAAATTATATATATATATATATAGTTTTTTTTTTTCAACAAGTCGGCCGTCTCCCACCGAGGCAGGGTGACCCAAAAAGAAAGAAAATCCCCAAAAAGAAAATACTTTCATCATCATTCAACACTTTCACCTCACTCACACATAATTACTGTTTTTGCAGAGGTGCTCAGAACACAACAGTTTAGAAGCATATACGTATAAAGATACACAACATATCCCTCCAAACTGCTAATATCCTGAAACCCCTCCTTTAGAGTGCAGGCATTGTACTTCCCATTTCCAGGACTCAAGTCCGGCTATATAAAAATAACCAGTTTCCCTGAATCCCTTCACTAAATATTACCCTGCTCACACTCCAACAGATCATCAGATCCCAAATACCATTCGTCTCCATTCACTCCTGTTGAACAAGCTCATGCACACTTGCTAGAAGTCCAAGCCCCTCGCCCACAAAACCTCCCTTACCCCTTCCTTCCAACCTTTTCGAGGACGACCCCTACCCCGCCTTCCTTCTACAGATTTAAATACTCTCCATGTCATTCTAATTTGATCCATTCTCTCTAAATGACCAAACCACCTCAACAACCCCTCTTCAGCCCTCTGACTAATACTTTTATTAACTCCACACCTTCTCCTAATTTCCACACTCCTAATTTTCTGCATAATACATTGCCCTTAGACAGGACATCTCCACTGCCTCCAACTGCCTCCTCGCTGCTGCATTCACAACCCAAGCTTCACACCCATATAAGAGTGTTGGTACTACTATACTTTCATACATTCCCTTCTTTGCCACCTTTTTTCCCACATCAATTCTATGATTAACCTCATCCTTCATAAATCTATCCGCCGACACGTCAACTCCCAAGTATCTGAAAATATTCACTTCTTCCATACTTCTCCTCCCCAATTTGATATCCAATTTTTCTTTATCTAAATCATTTGATACCCTCATCACCTTATTCTTTTCTATGTTCACTTTCAACTTTCTACCTTTACACACACTCCCAAACTCATCCACTAGCCTTTGCAATTTTTCTTTAGAATCTCCCATAAGCACAGTATCATCAGCAAAAATTAACTGTGTCAATTCTCATTTTGTATTTGATTCCCCATAATTTAATCCCACCCCTCTCCCGAACACCCTAGCATTTACTTCTTTTACAACCCCATCTATAAATATATTAAACAACCATGGTGACATTACACATCCCTGTCTAAGACCTACTTTTACTGGGAAGTAGTCTCCCTCTCTTCTACAAACCCTAACCTGAGCCTCAGTATCCTCATAAAAACTCTACAGCATTTAGTAACTTACTACCTATTCCATATACTGTACTTGCAACATCTGCCACATTGCTCCCCTATCCACTCTATCATATGCCTTTTCTAAATCCATAAATGCAATAAAAACTTCCCTACCTTTATCTAAATACTGTTCACATATATGCTTCATTGTAAACACTTGATCTGCACATCCCCTCCAGCCGGAGGGCCCAAGAAAGAAGACAGAAGAAAGAAGAAGATGAACGACACCCCCAACCGGGAGCCACAGCCGGGTCACCATATGGAGAAGACCCGGGCCGGAAGTACCGGCAAACCTCTAATGAATGAATGAATGAATCTACATATCCCCTACCCACTCTGAAACCTCCTTGCTCATCCGCAATCCTACATTCTGTCTTACCTCTAATTCTTTCAATTATGACCCCACCGTACACTTTTCCTGGTATACTCAGTAAACTTATTACTCTATAATTTTTACAATCTCTTTTGTCCCCCTTCCCTTTAATAAAGGGACTATACATGTTCTCCGCCGATCCCTAGGTACCTTCCTCTCTTTCATACATTTATTAAACAAAAGTACCAACCACTCCAACACTATATCCCCCCCTGCTTTTAACATTTCTGTCATGATCCCATCAGTTCCAGCTGCTTTACCCCCTTTCATTCTATGTAATGCCTCACGTACCTCCCCCACACTTACATTCTGCTCTTCTTCACTCCTAAAAGATGATATACCTCCCTGGCCAGTGCATGAAATTACCGCCTCCCTTTCTTCCTCAACATTTAAAAGTTCCTCAAAATATTCTCGCCATCTACCTAATACCTCCCTCTCCCCATCTACTAACTCCCCTACTCTGTTTTTAACTGACAAATCCATACGTTCCCTAGGCTTTCTTAACTTATTTAACTCACTCCAAAATTTTTTCTTATTTTCATTAAAATTTCTTGACAGTGCCTCTCCCACTCTATCATCTGCTCTCCTTTTGCACTCTCTCACCACTCTCTTCGCCTTTCTTTTACTCTCCATATACTCTGCTCTTCTTATAACAGTTATGCTTTGTAAAAACCTCTCATAAGCTACCTTTTTCTCTTTTATCACACCCTTTACTTCATCATTCCACCAATCACTCCTCTTTCCTCCTGCCTCCAGCCTCCTATAACCACAAACTTCTACCCCACATTCTAATACTGCATTTTTAAAACTCGTCCAATCCTCTTCAAACCCCCCCCCCCCACTACTCATCTTTGCACTAGCCCACCTTTCTTCCCATAGTCGCTTATATCTCACCCGAACTTCCTCCTCCCTTAGTTTATACACTTTCACTTCCCTCCTACTTGTTGTTGCCACCTTCTTCTTGTCCCATCTACCTCTTACTCTAACTGTAGCTACAACTAAGTAATGATCCAATATATCAGTTGCCCCTCTATAAACATGTACATCCTGGAGCCTACCTATCAACCTTTTATCCACCAGTACATAATCTAACAAACTACTTTCATTACATGCTACATCATACCTTGTATATTTATTTATCCTCTTTTTCATAAAATATGTATTACTTATTACCAAATCTGTTTCTACACATAGCTCAATAAAGGCTCCCCATTTACATTTACCCCTGGCACCCCAAATTTACCTACTACTACCTCCACAACATTTTTACCCACTTTAGCATTGAAATCCCCAACCACAAGTACTCTCACACTTGGTTCAAAACTCCCCACACATTCACTCAACATTTCCCAAAATCTCTCTCTCTCCTCTACACTTCTGTCTTCCTCAGGTGCATATACGCTTACTATAACCCACTTTTCACATCCAACCTTTATTTTACTCGACATAATCCTTGAATTAATACATTTATACTCTCTCTTTTCCTGCCATAGCTTATCCTTCAACATTATTGCTACTCCTTCTTTAGCTCTAACTCTTTTTGAAATCCCTGACTTAATCTCATTTATTTCTCCCCACTGAAACTCTCTCACCCCCTTCAGCTTTGTTTCACTTAAAGCCAGGATATCCGGTGTGTTAGATAGGAGTGAATGGAGACGAATAGTTTTTAGGACCTGATGAGCTGTTGGAGTGTGAGCAGGGTAATATTTAGTGGAGGGATTCAAGGAAACCGGTTATTTTTATATAGCCAGACTTGAGTACTGGAAATGGGAAATTCGATGAATGCACTTTAACCCTTTCAGGGTCCGTCCCGTAGATCTACGGCTTTACATTCAGGGTCCAAACCGTAGATCTACGCCATGAGCTCAGCTCACTCTGATAAACTGAGTGGTACATTTGGGCCTAGATATGAGAGAATACATCTATGTGGTATGTGTGCACCACATAAAACAGATCCTGCAGCACACTGTGTATAATGAGAGAAAACAAAATGAAATCATGATTTTTCGATTAAAACAGCAACTTTGCAGTGTTTTTTCGTATGTTTTTTATAGTTGTATTTACAATTTCTTGGTCTCATTTGATAGAATGGAAGACATATTACAGAAATAGAGATGATTTTGATTGGTTTTAGCACTGGAAATGGCTTGAAACTGAGCTCAAAGTAGCAGAAATGTTAAATTTTTGCCAATATTCAAGAGTAAACAAACGACCTCACACGTCTAATACACGCCAGCTGGTGGGTCTTAATATGCATTCACAGATATGGTGATGATATTTATACAATTATTACAGTATTGCATAACAGTAAATCTTCTATTTTTTGGTGTGAATAAAAATTCATTATGTGAATAAAAAATCAAAATGGAATTTATTTGTAAAGCCTCAAAATGTAACTAATGAACATAGGAAATGTTAGTTCAGTTCCAGGAATACCTACATTGTTTATTCTGGATCCTATTTTGAAATTGGAATATTTTGAACTTTGTGTTAAATTGGCCAAATTAACAATTTCCGATCACTTTAATTTGTAGTTGAAACAGTTGACTTGGCGATTTCATGTGCTCAATCGATAGAATAGAAGTAATACTAGTGAAATAGGTAAGAATTTGGTTGACTGGAATAATGTAATTGGCCTAAAATGGGAGTCAAAGTCGGCAAAATCGCCGATTCGTAAATATTGCTGACACATCAAAATTCACGAGAGCATAATTTCGTTAATTTTCCATCAAATTTCGTACTTTTTGTTTTATTACCTTCACAAAAAGATTCTCTACCATTTCATAAGAAAAAATAACAAATTTTTTTTTTTGAAAATTCTTGGACGCTGGCGCTCCACTTCAGATTTGGGCTTTGGACCCTGAAGGGGTTAAAATCGGAGTTTGAGATATTGGCAGTTTGGAGGGATATGTTATATATCTTTATATATGCTTCTAAACTATTGTATCTGGGTGCCTCTGCAAAGACAGTGATTATGTATGAATGAGGTAAAAGTGTTGAATGATAATGAAAGTATTTTCTTTTTGGGGATTTTCTTTCTTTTTGGGTCACCCTGCCTCGGTGGGAGAAGGCCGACTTGTCAATAAAAAAATATATATACGTATATATATATATATATATATATAATATATATAATATATATACATATATTTTAACATGCTGGCCGTCTCCCACTGAGACAGGGTGACCCGAAAATGAAACATTTTTGTCATCATTCAC